AAAAAAAATAACTTATTTGAAACTGTTACTAAAGTCCAAATTTTTAATTTAATTGAATGTTCATTAAAAGAAAAAATTAATAAAACCAGAGAAATTGTTGTTTACAAAACAAAGTTCTATGCTAACAGTTTCTTCTCATTTGTGGAACTCTTCAGGCTTCTTGCTTCCCAGTCAACTTTGATCTTCAAAAATTTAAATGCAATGTCAATCGTTATCTTCTGTCACCTTATTCTTTTATTGACCTCTCTTCTTAATAGTAGTTTTTTTATATTCTCTAACACTCAGTAAGCTCTTGCACCCTAGTGGCTTTATTGCCTTGCTTGGAGTGAAATGATTAACACAGACAAATAGTCAAAATTAAAATAATTTATTATTCATTTGATACACCAAGTCAGAAAATTTAGACCAAACTATTGTCTCCAGTTTTCAATTTAACAAGATTGAACAATTAAAAAGTTATTTTACTTGTTCTCTAAAACTTACTATTTTTTTTTTTTAACCAATAAATGTTTTACTAAAATATTTTCTGGACAAATATAAACTGGTTCATACTTAGATTTTAAATAAAGGCAGCCAACACAAACAAAAATAAAATAATACAACTACTTGCTTCTTCATTCTTAGTGGATTTATGACAAAGACTCTTCTTACAAAAAGGCTATTTCAGCATCTTTATACCATGTATGAAGTTGTTTCCATGGTTGATACTAATTTTTTTATAATAATCTCATTTTAACACCATATGTAATAAAATGTTCACAGTGAATTTTTGCACATGCTCATTTTTTTTTTCTAACTATGAATCAGACCAAGCCTTCTGTTTCATTTCATCGTTTCTTACATTGGAGTTTGAGATAGAAACAAAAGGTAGGTAGGTGGGTTGGGATAGTGAGTGAGCATTTCTTTTTGTAAGTGGTAGAGCAGGAATGTGTTAATGCATAGTTTGTTTTAGTAGAGTTGTTTCATTTTATCCTGGATGATATATACAAATTGTTGAAAAAGATACAGAAAATCAAAGATGTATGCTTACAGGAAAAGAGGTTACCATGGCAATGAGAGAACAAACTTAGAAAATGAAGCAATTAAAGATTGGTTTCACTTCACAAACAATACTTGGTTGGCTTCCTTAACTTTTTGGTGTTGGGTCTCAGTTGGCAGTAAAAAGACCACATGGGAAAAATTTAAAAAAAGTAGTAACAATGTTAACTATTTTTAATTTCTAAGTCCCTAATAATATTCTTTTATATTTCTATTGATTTTTACTGTAACTTTCAGACTTTCTTCAACCTATGATCTTTAATAAACTGAGTGAACAAATAGAGAATAAGCCTCCTTTAACTCAAGCTGCCTGCCAATTCGGAACAGCTGCCTTAGGTTACAAAGAAACTAGGTACAACAAATAGAAGTCCTTACCACGTGGCATTTTTCAATTCACTACTTTTGAGAACTTTTAATCAAGAAATTAGATGTACAATTTTCTAAGTTCCAGAAAAAAATCCTAAAATTAAATCTGTATGTTAGAAAACTGTTTGAAAACAAACTTCATCTATTAACAGCACAGTGATTCTTAAACTATTTTTTGTCCGACTCGAAGGTGCATACCAAATTAATTCTTTTTCAGGTGTTTTACAAATTTAATAGCAATAGAAAATGTTGATGGATTTTTAAAATTTGAATACATGTACGTTACAGTAGACGTTGAGTAATTTGCTTTAATGAAATTAATGTTTTTTTGTGAAATAAATAAACTGAAGCATACTTCAATAAACAAAAAGTTCAATAGAATGATTGACAGGGTATTTAAATCGATTTTATTCTTAAGATTACTACACTACAGTTACACAATCAACAGACAGAGGCTCAAAAATAATTCTGTATAAAAACACATAAAAAAAGATCCCCGTCCCGGTTAAGAACTTAAGATTAAAAAACAACATTGTGATGAGTAAATGATTTTTTTTTATGTAAAACATTGAAAAAAAAAAGTTATGATATCCGAATTCATTGATGTTCAGGTAAATTTCTTTTTGCACTTTTAAACTGGCGACATCAACATTAGTTTGTTTTTTTTTTTTTTTTTGGGGGATTTTTAACTTTCCTCGAAATGAATTTTAAAAAAATTATCATAATCTTGACGAGCTTTAATTTTTAATTCTATATTTGTACCAAATTTGAAAGAGGAGAAATCCGTAATTCTTCAAGTAGTTTTTTATCAGAGTTCGCTTGCCTTAAGTAGAGAAGAATTCGAAATATCTCTAAGCTTTGTAAAAATAAAACAATCATTTTTCAAAGTCAGCTGCTCCCAATTTCGCATAAAGGTTTTATTAAAAGCTAAAAAAAAAAAAAAAAAAAAAAAAAAAAAATCTACTTTCCTTTTTTTTACTTTCCAAGCAAAAAGTTCTCAAAACGAAGTTGCGCAAAAAATAATAAAGATAAAAAGAAAGGAATTAGAAAAAAAAAAAAGAGTTCCTGTAAAATTTTTCTTCCTTTTTAAATTCGACACTAAGTTTTTCTTTTTCAGTGTCTTCGAAAAACGAATTCCAGATGCTTTTTAGCTTTAAGAATTCCACTAAGCCAACATAAATTGACTAAAAAATAAACTAAATCTCGTGATTTCCTGACTAAAAAACATCTGAAACCACAAAAAAACAAAAATGTATCCCATGATTTTATTTTTAATTTTAAAATTTATTGTAAAAAAATTCGTAGGTTTTAAAAATTGCAAAAAAATAGCAAAGTTTGTCGTTAAAAATTATATTTTGCATACGTTTTTTTTTGTTTTTTTTTTTATATATAATTCAATTCAGTGTCGTGTTGACTTATGAAATGACCCCAGATACTGTCAAGAAAATTCTGGTTGTGTCACAGAGCAAAGTTTAATAAATACACTATAAAAGGTTTGCAAAGTTAAGACAAATGAATTCAATCTACAGATTTAAAGAGAAAATTCTTCCTTCCCGACTGTGGCGTCCTGTCAACTCTCCCATCGTTAAAAAAATAAAAAATAAAAAAAAATAATGAAGAAAGAGAAAAGCGAAATAGTGTTCAGTTCACTCTTGTTCAGTGACACGTGTTCGGACCAAAAGATGTGCATTATATACACAACACTAACAGGTAAAACAACCAATAGAACACAACATTAAATAAATCAATCTTCTTTCATCCAATTCGAAGGTAATTTATTTTTACACTCAACGCTTACAGCATTAAACCTTTCAGTGAAACTTGACCACACAAACAAATACCTAACAAAAAAACAATTCATTGTGTACTAAAGAATAAAAATGAACAAATTTCAAGTCATTCTAACAAAAAACAATAAAATAAAATGTCAAATTAAATCTTTTTTTTTTCAGCTCACACACAACAAAATGATTAGATATCAGTTACTTAATTTAATGACTAGTGAATGTATGACTAAAAAATTTAGACTAGTGTCATTCATTCATGATTGAAATAATGGTAGGTTTCAACAACCACACCTATATAGCCCCATTATTGTAGCCCTGGGCTATATGAAAAGCTTTGTTTAATGACAATAATGTTAAACTAAGAATAAAATAAAAAAAATTGTCTTCAAATTTCATCCGCATAGTACAATAATCGACAAAAACTGAACGATAAATAGAAAGGATTTTTTTATTATTATTTACTTTATTTTTACGCCCAAAACAAAAATCAGCAATCAATGAATTACTCATTGTGATCAATATCATTTTTTTAAGGAAGGAAAAAAAAGCTTCGCTATCATAATATTAAAAAAATATATATCTTTTTTAGTTTATCTATATCGATTTCTGGATATGGTTCAATCTATTGTTTTAGTAGCAGTCTTTTTTTTCAGAAGTAACACTTTCTTTCATTTCGTTGGCGTTAGAAAAACACTTTCACGACAGCCACTTTATACTTTGCTACAACTATTGATTCATTTATTGGAAATATTGTTTGTAACCATAATGCTATATCATAACTACTGTACTACACATATTGTTGACGTAATGAGAAAAATAACACTTCTTCCCGGGCAATTTTTAAAATCTTCTCAAGCTCTTCCAATTCGCCTCCAAGACAATGCTTAAACTTTGTGTAAATGTAATAAGAAAAAAAAAAACTAGTTTTCTTCTTGAAAATGCGTTTAATTCATACAAACTAATTACAATTTGGGATCAAGTTAATAAAAATTGTAGAATTCTTAAAATTTCAAATTTTAAAACTGAAAGTGATTTTTCTTCAAATTTTATCGAATAAATATTGTGACTGACATTAGCGACAAGTGTCGATAATAAAAAAAATAATAAAATTACTTTAAAAATCAATTTAAACATTTTTGGAACATCCTGGGTGCTTACAGTGAGTAGGTAACACCGTGTAATAAGTGCTGTTAAAATGAATGAATGAATCACGCGTGTACAACGATAATACTACTAACTACTCCGAATCGCAAGTACACTGCGCGAAAAGTTAACTAACACTTTTAAGGTGAAAATTTCACCTAAATTGGATTTATTTACTGGCATTAAATATCCCAAATATTCCATCATTTATAAGAATATTTTCTTACAGGTGGAGATTGTTGTTTCTCTTTTTAGCTTTAAAGAAAATACTGTCGAGTAAAAACTAAAAGCGATAGTATATTTTATAAAAGTTTTATTTCAATCAATCAATTTCATTGTCCTTATTATTGGATGGATAATTGATTGAATAAGCCTCAGAAAACAATACTTTTGTTTTGAAGACAGAAAACCTCTAAAAAAACTAAAAATTATAAAGGTAAAGTTTAAAAAGTAAAAAAACCAGTTCTGTTTTTTTTTCAAAATAATTTTTTTTTAAATTTAAGATAAAAAAAATCGTAATTAAAAAAAAAACCTGCTTCAGAAATACAAGCATAGTTTCACGTACAATCGCACGGAAGCAGTTTAAAAAATAGAAATAGTTTGTTTTGTTTTTTAAAAAAAAAATATTTTAAAAAGGTAAAAAAAGAGGGGTTAGATTTTACTTACCTATGAGCAGTGATAGGGGCAAAACAACCCTGAAAAGTAGGTAGGCCAACAGTCTGGTTACTTTATTAGTAGCCATGATGGCGAACGGGACATGGATTTTACTCTTCTTGTCACATGTGACAATAAACAAATTTTAGCTGTTTTCTTCCGTATTTAATGATTTCCTTTGGTGAAAAAGAAATGATCCGAATGGTTCGCTATATCAACAATGAGACCCAAGCAAACAACTCGACAGGAATGGATAAAGCCCACAAAAATGGAAAAAGAAAGCAAAGTTTGGTTCTGAAGCAATCTCAAAACAAGTTGCAAATTAAAATAAATTTTTAAAAAAATATATAAATTTTACCAAAAATTTAATAATGTTGGTCGTTGTAATTAATTGGTAGTGTCAAATTATTATTCCAAGTCCAAGCAAAAGAAGAGGAAATGATTTTTTTTTCTTTCTGGTTAAAGAGAGTTTTCCAGCGTCATCTAAGAAAAGTTGTTCAAAAGTAAATTTTATTTTTCCTTCTTTGACTTTATTTTTTTCTTTCATTCGGTATTTTAAAGAATTATTTCTTTTTCCATGTAAAAGTTACAGTTCTGTGGATGGTAGATGAAAGAAAAATACGTCGATGAAAAATGTTTTTTTTAAAGGGTCTCTGTTCTTGTTTATGTTATCCGTAGGAACCTTGTTTATTTATTTTTACTTCTTTTGCTCCTGTTGTTAAATTATCTTATGATCTAAATTTAACAGCATATACTTATTGGTTAGTCATATCGATATTCTAAGTAAGTAAATGCTGCACAACAGACTTCTTAACCTTTTTTTAACAAGAGATTCATCAGTTAAGTTATTCTTCAGTTAAGAAGAAGTAAGTGTATATGTGAATGAATCGGGACTTGTCAGGAACTGATTAACATGACATTGGTGTTAAAAAGCAAGCCAAGTCCCAATTATCCCTTTACTCACTAGTTCTAGAACTAAAATACTAACTACTTATATGTAGAAAATTAAAAAAAAACGGAGCCTGCTAATAAATACGTCTACATGACACCAGAGACCGGCAGACAAACTATGTTTGATAGCCGGCTGCTCAAGCTGCTACTGCAATCTTTATATATCTCTCTCTCTCTCTCATCATAACCTTTTTATATAAGCATGCCGCCTCCTCCTCCTCCTCCTCCTCTCTCTCTCTCCAATCCTTTCTTTCCTTTCTGTCTTTTATCCCTCGTCACCCTCTCTTTCTTTCTTTCTCTATCTTTACGTTTCTTTTACTGTTTTCTTCGAATGTAAGTCCTTTATTTGACAATGCAAGTAATCCCGTCTAAAAATCATGCATCTTTCGTTTCTATGAGTCCCTGCTTTCAGTGAATGTCTCCCACCTTTGTCTCTACATTTTTTTTGTCTAAAATAGGCAGCAATAAATAAAACAGTTCTATAACTCCCTACAGCATCTTTCTGTCAGATGATATGGTAATTATTTCTTCTGCAATCTTATCTCCGTCCAACACAAATTCAGATACATTATGAAAGTGAAACACATACCACCATATACACACTAACGTCAAACAAGCACAGCTATACATACTGCAGAGGCGCAAAATAGTAGAGAGAGAGCAACGGTTATTGGCAGATACCAAGTTCGAATTTCAGCCAAAGCTGCTTATATTCACTAGTAATACTTTGTAATACAGTGTAACCCGGATATAAGAGAAACCCGGATATAAGAGAGATTTTCTCTGGTCCCAAATTAGAGCCTGTGTTAATGTATATAAAATAGACCAAACCCGGACATAAGAGAAACCCGGATATAAGAGACTTCTCCGGACCCGACAACTCTCTTATATCCGGGTTACACTGTAGTCGTAAATTACCTTGGGAATGGAATGAATCGACATCCTCATGCTGTCATGAAAAAATGTCTTCTTTATCTAATTTTTTGTTAATCAAACAAAATATTTATTTACAATAATTTATGTGAAAAGAAAGATGTGTGTCCGGTTTGCTCAAAATATTCTTTTGAGCATCTAAAAAACTGAACTAGGCAGTGAAAAATGTTCATAAAATTATAAAAGTCTTTGCTACAGAGGATAATGGTAATATTCAAAGTTTACTTAGGGAAACATTGAGCTAAAAATAAAAGCCTGTGATACTTTCTGTTGAAATTTATAAAATCTATCCCATAAGACAATTTTGATGGAAAATAATTTCCTCAAGTTCAGTAACTTAATTGCTCTTTTCAGTATTGATGGGAGCCTCCAGTTTAACTTTTTGTTTGAAGTATTGTGGAATCTTGCTTGATTGTCATTATTTTCTTTTCAAGATACATGAATACATTTTAGTTACTGCTGTTGTTGAAAGTCCTCAAGTGATGTGGTTTCTGTTATTTGGTACAGATCTTTGTTTGTGATTCTGTAGTGCCAGTCAACAAAAAGCTTCATTTGCTCAAAGTTATTTTTTAATTGTTGATCTGAGAAAGTGGTTGTATATAAAGTAACAGTTCAATTCACAAAATGCTCACCCAGTTATCAAATTTTTTAGCACCATTTAGAGGTTAATATTTTGACAAAGTAGTGGGAGTGCCCATTTGTTGAATGAAATGAGTTGCAGAATGAGTGTCACTTGTAGAATACATTCAGAAGTAGATACTGCCTTGCATAATTATAATTAAAGAGAGTGAGTTTTTATATTAGTAAGAGTTGTAACCTAGGGAAGGTTACTGAATAGAATAATCAAACAAAGGTTGGTAATGAACAATAATACTTAGGACAAGAACAATGCATATAAGATTCGCCAGCAGCATGTAGAAGAAGTAGTCAATTGCTAGAAGTGAGTCAAGTGAATTCTACAATGAATCTCCAATTCTAGGATATCTACCAACCACCCCATGCAGTCAGATGTGGACAAGGCTGACTTTAACATTGGGTATCCAAGCTCGTAGGCTCAGCCAAAAATTCTCGGTAGACTCCATATAAAATGAGGTCAAGTAGCTGTTTCTCGAGATGAGACTTTGCCCTTCAACATAGCCTCGTCTGGGGATCCCCACTACCCAGAGGCAGAGAGTTTGACCAGCACAACTGGAGATGAATCTCCAACTGCAGGATATCTACCAACCACCCCACGTAGTCAGATGTGGTACAAAACTGAATTTAATGTGGGGTATCCAAGCCTGTAGGCTCAGCCAAAAATTCCTCGTAGACCCCATATAAAATGAGGTCGAGTAGCTGTTACCTGAAACGAGACACTGCCATTCAGCATAGCCTCATCTGGGGGTCCTCTCTGCCCAGAGACAGAGAGTTTGACCAGAACAGCTGGAGATGAATTTCCAACTCTAGACCACATACAGTATTTACTACTGTATTTATGGGAATGGGAGCATACCCATTATCGTCCGTAGGTATGCTACACTACTAAGAGAAACCCAGTTTGAGTGTGTCTTTGTTTTGTATAAACATGTACTATATTATTTGTTTTTAAGTTTTAGCATGTTGTCCCAGAGTTCCATGGAATCATGGATATCTCATACCCAGTTGACTCTTTTCTGAACTTGCTGCTATGGTTACTAGCTTTGCTGACTTATATTTTATGCTAGGTTTATGAATACATCATCAGCAAAGTGTAAGATATAGTCAATGGCAGAACCTAACAGATAAGATTTGTGGAATTGAACTGCAATAGTGTCATGCAAAAGATTCTTCATACTGAGCAATGGACAAGACTTAATTATTTTGAGTTAATATGGGGGCATCCTGATGAATGACCTAGTTAGTTACATATGGGAAAATCCCCATAAAAGACATAGATTCATTCCTTTCTCAAGGGCATTAGTGTAAAAGTGAATACAACAGACTTATCTGGAATTTGGATGCAACTCAACAATTCCACTTTCCAAGCCAATAACTAAAAATACAAGCTTGAATACCCCACACTAACCAAATACATAAGAATATATTCTGACTTTATCCTGAAGACAGATTATCATCCTGCTATTGCAAGTCATTGATTATCAATCTTAATTAGGTACTCATAAAAATGTAGCTTGTAGCCATATTTTCTCTCTGTATTAATGCAAACAGATACATATCAACGCATTTACCAATACATCAATAAGTCTGTGATGTAATGATGAAAAAAAACATTGCTTTTATACTACAAATATATTTCAAGATAATCTCATTCCTTGTCAATGCACTTTTAACCAGTTTCTCTATAACTCCTAGACAAACATTAATTATACAGTGAAAATTTCAAATCAAAACTCAGCTCATAACTGTAACACTTATCAAAGTTAGACTCATAGCGAGACATCAATCAAATGAAATAGATAGATAGATAGATAGATAGATAGATAGATATGAACAGGCTGGGCTAGATGTGAACAGGCTGAGATAGATATGTACAAGCTGAGTTATATATGAATAATCTACGATAGATAGATAGATAGATAGATAGATATTAGCAGGGATTAAAGATATGAAAACTAACTTTCCTCCATCAATAAACCACCCATGCATTTAGTTCAATGATGTGCAAAATAAAATGAATGCAAGCAATGAATAATAATAAAAGGAACAAACATTCCCAGATAATGGTCAATGTTAACTGAAAAAAAGCAATGATGTGAAACGCTATCAGCAGGCAAAATACAATCAAGTGTTCTTTTGACTTCTGAGCAAGATGTAATTTTATGAATATCTCAGATTATTTTCCTCTGGTTTACCAACCCTAAAAAGATGAATTATGTTAAAATTGGATTTATTCATGCAGCAAATGTTCATTTATACATGCTTTCTTAATTAAAACAGACAAATTATATGTATTATATATTACAATATTTTTCCTCAACTGACAGATCAATTTCCATATGTTAAAATTTATTCAATTAATCAAGAGAATTTCAAGAAGGAATTGTTCACAGATGATATCAGTTTATTTATCATTTCAAGCTTTCAACTGGTTTCAGTCATTGTCAAGAATTAACATACATTTTGTTCAAATCCTGTGATGACTTTGTACCTCAAATTTAAATATAATGCATTTCTAATGTATTTTATCACATGTGAATGATCTTAACTTTAAATGTTTGTGATGTC